CGCCCCGGGCCCAGCTGGGCTCACTCAGATCCGTCACACCGATGGGACGGCCCGGGGCCAGGTGGGCTCACTCAGATATGTCACACCGACGGGATGGCCCAGGGCCAGCTGGGCTCATTCAGATCCGTCACACCGACGGGGACGGCCTGGGGCCAGGTGGGCTCACTCAGCCACATGGGACGCTTAGAGGAAGAAGCTGCCTGACACATGCGGTGCCACCGTGCTGGAAGCCCCGAGGCCGCCATGCTCCCGTGAGGGAAGGCGGCTGCGCAGAATGGGACGCGCCTCCTTCCTAGCTCTGCACGGGGGCATGACCGTCCCTCCCTGAGCCTCGGCCTTCTCATCCGTGAAGCGGGGTAACGTGTTTTCAGAGCGCAGCGACAAACCCGAGTGAAGTATGCAAACTACCAGGTGCACCGGCGGGCGTAGGAGAATCCGGGACAGAGACCTCCCATTCACTGCCCCACACGCCAAAGCGGTGTCACCGAGCCATCCCCAAATGCAGGGGTGTGTCCTGCGAAGTGCGAGGAGCCTGGGCTACACACGTGCCCCTCTGTTACACAGGGCCCAGGAACACCGGCAGGCCGCGAGCTGCAGGGTCCACTGCATTTCACGTCCCACAGCACTCATTAAAAACCGACCTTCTAAACATTAGCAAGTAACCCCGCGTTACTAAAACAATACATTCTCACCTCTTCAAGGGAAGATTCCAAATTCATCCCGAAAGCAACTCCCATCAGCCCGAAGAGCGAGAGAGAGAAGGTGCCCATGGTCAGCTGCAGGTTCAGCCTCATCATCACGTTGCGGTGGCTGCGGACGAGAGCCCCGCTCAGGCCCGGCCCGGCCCCCTCCGCACACCAGAGTCCGCGCCAGACCACCCGCGTTAGCCAGGCCCTTCCCGAGATGGGGCGGCCTAACTCCTCGCCAAGTGGGATTTGCTGAAAGCTCGTTACTTTGTAGACTCAGCCTGTAGGTTCGTGCCCTGCGCCCTGGCGGCCCTCACCTGTCCAGGTTGATGAAGATGATGCTCTGGGAGTCGTCGATGAGCGCCCGGAGCTCCCGGGCCGCGTTGGAGAGCTCCTCGGCCAGGCGGTGGTAGTTCTCCAGCAGCAGCTCCATCTCTTCGGCGTGGTCGATCCCAGCACTGCTCTTCTCGCTGGGATCAGAGCGCAGTGTGAGGACGAGCCCCGCACGGGCACCCCGTATTCGGCTCCAACGGCGTAGGGGAGC